TTGAGGGGGCGGAATGGGGCGGTGGGGTTCCTGGGGGGCGGGGTGTCATGGTCCTTGGGGGTGGGGCGGCGTGGATGTACTAACCCTTTGGAAAGCAGGATGGAGGTCCTGGGAGCAGGTGTGGTGCGTCCTTCCACTCTCACCCGTCTGCATCGCACACTGTCGGGGCGGGGGATGGTCCCCGTTGTACAGAGTCGGGGATCCTTCTGGTCTGAGGGTGGTGCCGCCCGCCAGTGCGCCCTGTCGTGGCCTGGTTAGGGGCCACCAGTCCAGCGTGGGCCCCTGCGGAGTGGCTGAGGGCGAGTCCATGCCCCCATCTCCAGGCCCACTCAGTCTGCTCGGCGGCGCTCGCCCCGGAGTGCACGTTTGGGCGCTTGCGCACCATGGTCCTGCCCCCTGCGTGCGTGCGCCTGCTGTCCCGAAACTTCAGTAAAATGCACTGTTTCCGCATCTCTGAGAGCGCGGCCCCGGAGCCAGGTGCGTGAAGGGCTGTGCTGGGGCCAGGCGTGGGGGCTGGGGGTAGGCCCCGAGTACGAGGTCAGCTGTGCCCCTCCCGCAGGTGAGGGGGACGATGGTGTGGACGGAAGTAGCCCTGCTGGCCTGGGCAGAGAGGTGCTGGCCCCGGAGTCCAGTAAGTGCCTCTTAGCTGTTGCCTGGCCCGCCGCCCTGTCCACCCATCCTGTCCCTTGTGCCCCCTGTCCCCATTCCCATCCCTCACCCCATGCCCTGTCCTGTCCCCAGCCTGTACCCCACTCCATGGATCCATACCCACTTCTCTGGCCCAGGCAAACAGACCCTGAAGATCTTTGACGGCAACGATGCTCTGCAGAGAAACCACTTTCGAGTCATCATTGTCCCCCGCCTGGCCAGGAGCGAGGAGGTGCTGGTACGAGAGAGCGCCGACAGGGGCTGAGGCAGGGCCCATTCCTGGGGGCGCTTTGTGGCATCCAGCCTGGCCCTGGCTCCTGTCCACATGTGCCCCCCCCCCCCCGCAGGAGGCGGCTCTCCGGGCTTACTATGTCACGGAGGACCCTCGAGACTTTGAGCTGCAGGCACTCCCCCTACCTGTCCACGCTGCGGACCCTGGGGCACGGGGCAAGACCCGGGCCGGTGGGAGTGCAGAGGGGGAGGACAGCAGAGGCCCTGGATCCCGAGAGGCTGCACCCGAGGCCTGGATCATCCGCGCTCTGCCCCACACCCAGGAAGTCCTGAGGATCTACCCTGCCTGGCTCAAGTGAGACCCAGGCACAAGGCCCAGGGTCTGCCAGCGGGAGTTGGGAGGGGTGGGGGCCATGTGACCCAAGCTCCTGAGATTGTTCCCTGCAGGGTGGGTGTGGCCTACGTGTCCATCCGTGTGACCCCACAGAGCACTGCCCGGACTGTGGTGCTGGAGGTTCTCCCACTGCTCGGACGTCAGGTGTGTATGCTGCTGTGGTCCCAGCCAGCCTGGGGGGAGTCCTGGGCGAGTCACAGGTCCAGGCCCGATGCCTCAAACCCTGCCCCCCACAGGCCGAGGGTCCTGAGAGCTTCCAGCTGGTGGAGGTGCTCATGGGTAGCAGGCAAGGTGAGTGGTAGCCCGCGGTCGATGTCCCCTGATCTGCCCCCCGGGCGCCCTGAGGTCTGCGGGCAGCAGAGGTTGGGCATGGCACCTGGTGCCCACGGACCCTGCCTTTCGTTCTTGCAGTCCAGCGGACGGTGCTGGAGGACGAGGAGCCCTTGCTCGCCCGGCTTCGTGACATCCGGCAGGTCATTGGGTGTGAATGCTGGTCCCTGCGGAGCCACCAGCCTTTGGCCGTGGCCGCTGCCTCCTAGTGAGGGAGCCTGTCCCCAGGACACCACGTCACTCCTGGCTGGCCGTGCCAGTGCTCCTGGGCCTGGCGGGTCTCTGCTTGCTAACGCCACCTTTTCCCCAGAAGGTGGGGTCGTGAGCCACAGACCCCACCCCCTGGAGCTCCCCGAGGGCAGTTGAGGAGTTTGTGCCAAGGGAGGAAGCCTGTATGTCCCTTTCCATCTTGGTGTGGTTCAGCCTGGGGAGTCTTTCTGGATGAGGAGGGTGGAGGGGCCGGGCGCTGCGGGGCCCTCCCTGAGTGCTCTGCTCAGTGTTCTGCTTCCCCACAGACGTCCCTGCGGCAGATGACCCAGGTGCGGTTCTACGTGGCTGAGAGCAGAGTTGTGGTCCCGCACGTCTCCCTGTATGTTGCTGGCCTGCCTCCCGGCCTGTCTGCCCAGGAGTATGGCAGCCTGCTGGAGGAGGCTGCGGCCACCAAAGGTGTGATGGCCTGGCTGACCTGGGAGCAGGGAGAGGAAGGGAGGGCTTCTGAGAGCAGGCCGCGGGGGCTGGTTCTCCTGCTCCCCTCCTCCCCCGCCACTCGTGCCTGAGCCTTTGCCAACTGCCACTCAGTGGGTCTGTGTCCTCACCTCCTGAGGGGCTTCTGAGACTCCTGAGGTCTAGCCTTTGCCTTTTCTGCCCTTGGCTCTGGGCTGGGGAGGGACGGGTTGGGGGAGCTGCCCCTGCTGGGTCGTGGGCCCAGCTATAAACAGTGGCAGCTGGAGGTGGGGGGAAGGCCGTGCCCAGACCGCTTGCCTCCCCTGACGGCAGCCTGTCTTTGCAGCTGGCCTGGTGTCCGTGAGCCACGTTTACTCCTCCCAAGGTGAGCCGCCGCCCTGGGCCGCGATCAGATTTGGCCAAAGGTCGTTCCTTGGAGTTAGGTGGAAAGACCTGCCCTTCTTGCCTTCGTGTTCACTGTTCCATTTTGTTGAGGACCTGACCTTTTTATTGGGGAACCCCATGTGAGGGACCCATTTCTGGTTTTTTTCCTGGCTTACGGCTGTCGTGCTTTTGCTAAAATGTGACTGAGTTGCAGAGGACTTTTCTGCAAAACCTGTTCTGCCCTTGGGTTTGCATCTTTTTTTCATGGGAGACTTCAGATCTACCCAGAAGTGGGAGGACATTCCCATGAGCCCCAGTCCCTTCTGTGGGTCCCCAGCAGTCATCAGTGTCCTCCGTTCTTGTGGGAGCTTTCCTCGCCCCCCAGGGGCCTCAGGGATGAGGGTGTGCCCAGCCACACTGCCCTCTTCCATCCGCCTCCATATCCTGTCTCTGACCTTGGCCATCCTTAAAGGCTCCACGGGGACGGTGGGCCTGCATCCTGCGGATGCCGTCGGACAGCCAGACCCAGGGTCCTTTCTGGCAGTGGGACGAGGGGAGGTTGCGGTCTGAGCTTACGGCCCCTTTGCTGCAGGTGCAGTGGTGCTGGACGTGGCCTCCTTCACAGAGGCTGAGCGACTGTACATGCTGGTCAGGGACACAGCTGTGCACGGCCGGCCGCTGACCGCCCTGGTGCTCCCAGACGTGTTGGTGAGTGGGTGCCGTCAGGGACACAGCTCACAGCAGGGGAGGAGCCCGAGGTCCGGGGGTGACAGGCCTGCACCATGGCTGACGGGTGGAAGGCCAAGGGCCACTGGGACCTGGCCCCACTCCCCCTGCTTGGGAGACCTGGGCCACCTCTGGCCAGGAGGTGGGGCTCCCTGACTTCGGACAGCGTCTGGAAGTCTGAGCTGGGGGCGAGCGCAGGGCCAGGTGGACACCAGGCAGGTCAGGGCAGGGTGAGGGGCCAGAGCCCCAGGTCCTGCCCTACACTCCCATGTCTTTGCCAGCAGTCTCTGGTCCTCAGCCCTGCTGGCCCCCAAGGTTTCACCAGAGCTGTCTGTGACTACTCTGTCCCTGACCCCGGGCCCCTGTCCAGGTGAAGCAGAATTAGAGTAGATGAGTTCACTGTGAGCGGGTGGGCGACGCCTAGGCCTGGCCGCCCCCTCCTATCCTGAGCCGGGTGCCCTCCTGCTGTCCTGATGAGGATGCAGCCCCGGGCAGGTCAGGGCCCCTGGCAGCTGGCCCTGTTGGCAGAGCTGGGTGGGCAGTGCCGACGTGCCCTTTTTCTCTCCTGGCAGCTACCTGCTTTGGGGTGAGCAGGTGAGGGATGACTGCAGGAGCTCTGCCCCGTGGGTCACATGTCACCCCAGGGGCGTCCTTGGTCTTGAGCTGCTGCTGAGCTTGTGCCTGTTACCGAGCACCTCCCACCATGGGACCCCAGGGCACCCCAGCATCCTCACCATTGTGGGGGCCTGAGCCCCCTGCCCGCGCTCTCTGGGCACCGCGTTTTGAGGGCTCTTGGGAGATGGACGACTTCTGCCAGGGGAGGCGTGGGGCCACTCTGAGCCCAGTTGCTCCTGCTCGCTGTGGTGTGGGTGGGCAGGGGCCCTGAGGAGTGCAGGAGGGGCAGCTGGAATCCCGCGTGGGTGTCCAGCCTCGGCATCTGGGCTGCACGGGTCAGGTAGTGGGCACGGTCTGGCCACGAGGGTCGCAGTGGATGGTGGCGTGGCCCATTTGCTCAGAGCTCCAGGCCGGCCGGCCTCATCTCTGCCCCGTTGGCTAGCGGCTGTGAGTGCCTCCTCTGCTGGGGGCGGGGGATGCCTTGAGTGGTCAGTGGCAAGGTGGGGGTGGCCAGGTAGCCCCCCTGGGCCCCATGTGTGCCTTCCTCGGGCGGGGGGCTGGCCCCAGGTAGGCTCGGGCTGTGTGGGCACAGGGTTGGAGGACTTGTCACTGCCCCCGTGGGGTGGCCTTGAGAACCTGCACTAACCCAGCCCCCCATCTGTCAGCACACGAAGCTGCCCCCAGACTCCTCCCCCCTCCTCGTGTTTGTGAACCCCAAGAGTGGAGGCCTCAAGGGCCGTGACCTGCTCTGTAGTTTTCGGAAGCTGCTGAACCCTCACCAGGTCTTTGAACTGACCAACGGGGGGCCTCTTCCCGGGTGAGTGTGGGGGTGCCCGCTGTGCCGCTCAGCCTGACGAGCCTCAGGGGGTGCTTGCACGCGGCTGTCGAGAGGCTGGAGGGAACAGACGCGTCCAGGCCGTTCTGCGTGGGGTTCGGGGGCTGCCCCTGGCATGCACGCGTACAGAGCCCCCCATTCGCCTCTCGCCAGGTTCCACGTGTTCTCCCGGGTGCCCTGCTTCCGGGTGCTGGTGTGCGGGGGGGACGGCACCGTGGGCTGGGTGCTCGCCGCCCTGGAGGAGATGCGGCACCGTCTGGCCTGCCCGGAGCCTTCCGTGGCCATCTTGCCGCTGGGCACAGGTGGGGTCAGCCAGCAGGTCGGGGGACGGGCCTGGGGCGGGGGGGGCGGGCGGGTCGGTGGTGTGGAGAGTCTGTTTTCGCTTGTTGCTGTCCCAGGGAATGACCTTGGCCGGGTCCTCCGCTGGGGGGCGGGCTACAGTGGCGAGGACCCGTTCTCCGTGCTGGTGTCCGTGGATGAGGCCGACGCTGTGCTCATGGACCGCTGGACCATTCTGCTGGATGCTCACGACACTGGCGGTGCAGAGAACAGCGTGGCAGACGTGGAGCCCCCCAAGGTACCAGGGAGCCCCCCACCGGCAGCTCCACACTTCTGCCCGGGGATTTGTGCGTGTCCCGGCCACCCCCTTTATGGGGAAGCCGAGGCACTGTCAGCCGTGGCTTGCTGGGGACATCCCAGGCTGGCTGGCTCAGATGCTTGCCTCCTCCTGGGTGAAGGGCAATTACAGAACAGAAGCAGCTCTGACAACGGCGGCAGAGTTGGGTTGGAGATGAGGAGGCTGGGCCCAGCCTGGGGGACGCGGGAAGGACCTGGTGGGGGCTGACCAGGGTCATGGGAGAACGTGTCTTGTCTCTAGATTGTGCAGATGAGTAACTACTGTGGGATTGGCATCGACGCAGAGCTAAGCCTGGACTTCCACCAGGCACGGGAGGAGGAGCCTGGCAAGTTCACGAGCAGGTGCCGGAAGATCAAGGATGGGGGCTTGGGACCGCTCTGGACAGCAGGGCTGCCCCCTGGTGACAGCGTACTTCCTGGGGACTCACCAGCAGGAATTGGTGGATGGGACTGGAACTTGGGGGATTGTCTTAGAGCAAGGGCTCCACCTCGACAGTAGGCGCACACCTCTCCTGCAGGTTCCACAACAAGGGTGTGTATGTGCGAGTCGGGCTGCAGAAGATCAGCCACTCCCGCGGCTTGCACAAAGAGATCCGGCTGCAGGTGGAGCAGCAGGAAGTAGAGCTGCCAAGCATCGAGGGTCTCATCTTCATCAACATCCCCAGGTGCCAGTGGGTGGGGCTCCAGGGGGCTCTGGCCTCAGGTGGGGCTCGAAGCCCTGGTCCGCCTGCCCACTTACCTGTGCGCCCTTCCCTCGGTGCAGCTGGGGCTCAGGGGCCGATCTGTGGGGCTCCGACAGTGACTCAAGGTTCGAGAAGCCACGCATGGATGACGGGCTGCTAGAGGTGGTGGGGGTGACCGGCGTCATGCACATGGTGAGTGTGGGCAGGTGGGGATGGGCCCGCGGCGTGGGACCGCAGCCCGCTGAACCCAGCCGGCCCTCCCCCTCTATCAGGGCCAGGTCCAGGGTGGGCTGCGCTCTGGCATTCGCATCGCCCAGGGCTCCTACTTCCGCGTCACTCTCCTCAAGGCCACACCTGTGCAGGTGGATGGAGAGCCCTGGATCCAGGCTCCTGGGCACATGATCATCTCGGCTGCGGGCCCCAAGGTACCACACGGGGTGAGCGGGGTGGAGCCTGAGAGCCTGCTGCAGCCCGTTCTTCCCCAACAGCCCCCTGGGTACGCGACGGGAGGGGCCCACAGGCTGAACCACCCCGCACCCCTTCTGTCAAGTGGGCTGCCACTGTGCCTGCAATATCACCCAGCCCTTTGACCTGCCCTGTCCTGGGACAGGTCCACATGCTCAGGAAGACCAAGCAGAAGCCCAGGAAGGCAGGGACCCCCAAGGATGCCCGAGCAGATGGGATGCCTGTCCCTGAAGGGGACCCCAAGTAGAGGAGGGCCCTGGAGCAGCGTGCCTGTCCAGCAGCAGCCGCCGCCAACCTGTGATGGATGGACTTGCCTGCAGCTTTGACTGGGGGCGTCTCCCCCTCACCCCTGTGCCACACAGAAGCTGCGGGGTGGGTGGCAGGTGCTTCCCCCCTGGCCTCTGATGCAGCAACAGGGTGGGCGCGGGGCTTTGGCTGGCCAATCGTCCCGCCCCCTGGGGTCCAGGCCACCATCGTGCGTGGCAGGCACTTCTCCCTTTGCGTCCTGCACCATCTCTGAGCCTGTTGAGCTGGGCAGCACTGAATCCTGGGCCAACCCCCCAGATGCTCCTAACAGAATGTGCCCAGTACAGACCCCGAATGCCCCAGCCAGCAGGTCTTCCGACCGACTGTCCCACTGAGGGCTGGGTGGGGGCACCTGCCACCTGTCCCGGGGGAAAGGTGCCTTCTCTGCTGGGCTCACCACTGTGGAGGAGCTGCTTAGGCTGCACCTGGGGGTCGGAGGGGCCCGAGGCCGGGTGGGCTTGGCCAGCATCCTGACGATGGAGCAGGAGGGGAACTGGGCCCTCACAGGGGTGGGGCAGAGCGTGCCCGGAAGGGACCAGAAGCAAACCCATGGAAGCCTGGGCTGGGAGGCCCAGAGAAAGTTTACAAGGTGTGACGTGGGGAGGAGCCAGCTTTAATCACCTGTTTGTGAACAATCAGCATGCCCATTCCCAGCGCTTGTCAGGCTGACCAGACGCCCAGGCCCCCACCACGCTGAGCTCAGACAGGCCCCTGGTCGGTCTGGGGAGTCTCCAGAGCCCCCCAGCGAGGCCCAGGAACCACGTCTCTCCACTTGTCCTGGCTCTTTGCTGTCGGCGCCGTCTGGCCAGGCTCCGCCCTGCCAGCCCCGTGTCCCCCAAGCTTCTGCCCAAACTGCACACATGCACTGTTGTGGCCATTTGTGACGGGACACTCCTGTGCCCCCAGCACACAAGTGTGTGTCCACCGTGATGTCCCCGGTGGTGCAATTAGTGTTTGCTTTGCAGGCCTTGGCGCTGGTTCTGGCCTGTAGCTGTCTGTCCTGTATTTAAGTGAGTCTGTGTGCCCAGAGGGGGCAGTGTGGGCTTGGCACCCAGGCCCTTGTGTACCTTGTCACTACCTGAATGTAAGCCTAATTTATGTCCAGGACAAATACAGTGTGGGCATTGCTGGCCTGCCATCTCCTCTGTGCCTGGGGACCCACGCCCCGCTCAGGGCTGACGCCGTGGGCTCCCAGCGGGAGCTCGAGCACCCGCGCGGCTCGGCTTCACGAAGATAGAGAATGTGGGCTCAGGACAGAGACGGACACGCAGATGCCAAGCTCCTGTTGCGCTGTCTGCAGAAGCAGAAACCCTCGCTAGGGCTCTAGAGCAGAACGATGGAAATAAGAACCAAACGGGCTGGGGTGGGCCGGGGTGGGCCGGGGCGGGCGGGCACGCACCCAGAGCTAGTGGGCAGAAGGCAGGAGCGGGGCGCGTGCGTCGTCCTCGCTCCGGTGTGCTGGCAGGCTGAGGCCCCGCAGGGCACGCAGGGGGGCCAGGGCCAGGCGTACGAGGAGGCGAAGCAGCAGGAAGGCGAAGGGCACCGCGATCTGGGTGAGGTGGAAGATGGCCGCGCTGAACCGGCTCAGGAAGCAGGTGGAGGCAAAGGCCAGCAGGCTGACGCAGGGGTACAGCGTGAGCTTGGCAAACATGAACGCGTGCTCGTGGCCCCCGAAGCGTGCCGAGGGCTGCAGCGTCTCCCCCTCGTGCAACAGGGCCGTGGTCCAGATGGCAAACTGGAAGATGCTGGCGAAGAAGATGATGGCGCAGCTGACGCGCACGCTCTCGAGCTCCTGGTGGGGCTGCTGGGCGAAGGCCGAGGTCTGCTGGTAGGCCAGAGGGAGGCCGCCCACGAAGGCCAGTGAGAGCGTGTTGAGCAGCCCCATGGACTGCGTGGTCTTGCGGATGTGCAGGAAGAGCGAGTGGTGGGCAAACCAAAGCAGGCCCACGGTGGCGAAGGAGCCGAAGTAGGCCAGGAAGTGTGGCCCGTACTCGCTCAGCGCTGCCACCAGACTGCCGTGGAACTTCTCCTTGACGTCCTTGGAGTCTGGGACGTTGTCCTCGCTGAGGACGGTCAACACACAGCATCTGTCACAGCCTCGACGCGGGGCGTCGGGTCAGGGCTGCACCCCCACCCCACCCCAGCCTGGACGAGCACACGTGCATTTCAGAGAACGACATGGAAAGCTGTGGTCAGCACACAGACACCAAGCAATTCCGTGTTGTGCCTCTGAAGCGCAGATGTCCCGGCGTCCTGTCTCTGTGCAGGCCGGGTGGGCAGCACTGTCCCCTCAGCCCCCCTGGCCTCCACAGCTGGGTGCGCGTGAGGTCTGTCCACTCCCCCCGCAGCTGCCCATCCACTTGGGCGGTGGTCCTGCAGACGGGGGCGCGGTCAGCCTCTGTGGTTCTCAGGTTGCTGGGCCGAACGTTGCTGGAAGGAGCAACTCTAAGACACATCTCGGGGTTCTCCCCGGGTGGATGCCCCCGACTGCACGGCCCAGGGAGCCCACCCCTGATCCCAGGCTGGGGGGAAGCACCTGGGACACCTCTCAGCTCACAATGGTGGGCTACCCATGTGTCTGGGGGGGGGGCCGCGAAGGGAGGGCTGCAAGAGTCCGAAGGTAGGGGCAAATGCCCCCAGGTGCTGGGGCTGTGGCTTCGGGCAGAGGCCCCCAGCCTCCACTGCTCCTTGCAGCTGGGCCCTAGTGGCAGAAGCAAAGCCGCACCATTCTGGAACCTTAGGTTTAGGCCTCCGAGATCGGCACCAATGAACGTTTGCTCCCAAATTTTAAAAATTGACAAATTACAGTAGGAAAAAGCTATCAGGAGAGAATTAGGAGAACTAACACTTTAGACCATCAGATACAAAAATGTAAAATCAAAATGGTGTAACCTGTCCGACAAAATAAGCGTACTGAAATAGGATCAAAGAAACAAGAGGCTCTAAAAAAGAATGGAAAATGTGAAGAAAAAAAAAGCAGATGAAACAGCTAAAAATAAAAATGCAGTAACTAAAATGAGAACTTTGACAGAGAGGAGGTAGATCAGGTGAAGCAGAAGAGTGCAGAGTGAAGGGAAAACTGAGCAGAAGGGAGGATG